CAGACTGATTTCCATCCACTGTCCATCAAAAAAAGAGGTGTACAAAGCACTTTACAGCATTAACTGATTCTTTGCTGCTAGGGCTGGGACTAAAAATATTTTATTGCAAACTTTTTTTTCTCCATATCAGTCAATATCAATAAATATCAAGATAAAATTCAAGCTGTTATTTCTTGCTATTTGCTTGCCTGATTCTGATGAACACAATGTTGCATCAATAATTATAATCTAATAATATAATATACATTAATGTGAAACATGCCACTCTGCGTAATGACTACTTTTACTTTTGGTACTGTAAGTATTATTTAGTTTTAGCAACATAACATTTTTGAATGCAGGAATAACAAAGTATTTTTACACTGTAATATTTCATTACCTTTACACAAGTAAAGAATCTCAGTACTTCTTCCATCACTGTGACTTTATTCTTCTACTGTACTTAAATTTATTTAGCCACAAATCAAAAAGAGGATAACTGCTAGGACAAAATGACTGCATTTCTGGATTGCTACTATTTGCCGGGATGTTATCATTTTAACTGCATTATTATTGTTAGGCGATATAAAATAATATATTCTGACATGAACTGAGGAGATCACAGTAGCTGTGAGAATAGCTGAGTGCTACTGCTGCGTATCTAAGCCACGCACTCAGTCAAACTGACACACAGACCTAAAACTGGATGCACTTTCAACACTTAAATACACCACAGATGTTTTGAGAGAGAGAGAGAGAGAGAGAGAGAGGAATGCTATGAAAGGAACGGAGCCGTAAGGTCTGGCTCTCTTCAAAGAGCTGCTGTTCCCACCACTATGAGGGAGTACTCATATCTGTGACTCATGTGTAGTAATCCTACCACCACAGTAGCATGTGGTGCGTGCTATGTCCGCTAACTAAACCAACCCTGCTATGTGTTTGTTAGGTGCACTTTGTCTGTTCTTAAAAAACTACCATGCAATTGGTATTTGCATTTGGATAAACAGTAAAGCTTGCTTGTCAATGCAAACTTGAGATAACAGGCCTGTGTAGCCTGTGTTAAAAGTGTATGCAATCAATTCAAAGAACAGCGTTAATAACAGAGTTAATAGTGTATGTTGAGGAAGTTACTCATTTAGAAACTTACGGTGTGCCTTAGCTGCACCATGCTGAATGAAAACAAATGTTAGTGTTTGGGGAAAAAAAGTGTTGCAAAAATAAAATCATGTCCTGATCTGGCACTATAATAGTAAAAGTATCACTTGATAATGGAAAAGTAGTGGTGTGGGTCAAAACAGCTCATGGGTTAATGTTAAGGTGGGGTTTGGGTTAAAGTAACTTCTTTCTTTATGTTAACTGACCTGTTATCTTGGTTAAGGCTAAGGACCAATCATGGCCATAGCTAAAAGAAACACTGACTGTCAGTCGGAAACAGGAACCAAATAGCAGCATCCTGTGTCAAACTTTTGTTTTGTTCATCCATCAAAACCACTCTGACCTCCACCCTCTACATCAGACTTTGTGGCTATTTCCTACTCTTCTCCAAAGACAGACAAGAGTCACAGTTCTTATGGCCATTGGAGGGCTCTTTCCCATAAGTGTAAGGATATTTAGTTATTAGGTAACCTGAGATTTTTACTAATCCATCGTTATAAATGAAACAAACTTGACTTTGATTCTCCCTGAGCAACACAAGTAAAGTCATAGGGTAGTACTGCGTCGCATTCGAGCAATGCAGCCTACCACAATTTACATGCACCCGTAAAGCATTGGAAACTGATACTTTTACTGCTTGACACACTTTGCACACCAATGTTTGTGAACAGGATTCCAGCTCTCAAAATAAAAGTATTTTAAAAAAGGAGAAGCAGGAGGTAAGGTAGGTCAGTACCACAATACCACAACTGCTCATTGTTGAATGACTAAGGCTTGAACTGAAATGGGAGCCATTGCTCCTCAAAAAGTAGCAACACCTCATTTTCAAAACCACAGTGACCAGGGAAAGGCATGTAAAGCAGTAGCCCTGCCCAAGTGATAGGCAAAATGACTGTGACTAATGTTTCTTCATGGGATACAGACTGTATGTGAAATATACACACAGAGTCCCACTGCCCTCCCACACCTAAAATAACTCACAACCAGACTCAACGTTTTGGTATACCATGGCTTCTAACAGACACTGACATGTTATTTTAAATGTTATCTAGCATGTCACTGCCCTTTCAATTCAGCTCACTTTGTCAAAGATCATAAGCATCTAATTTTTACCACACGACAAACAGAAACTTAAAAGGAGTGAGTGTGTTTGGACCATTGACATATATACGATGGACATGGTATCACCACTTCCCTCCGCTGCGCAAAAGTGAAGTCAAAATATTGTGTATATGGCAGCTGCCATCTTGTTTTCTTGCAACCAGATTCTGCACAGTTGCAACCAGAAGTGGAGTGACAGCACTGCTGCCAAACAAAGCTGTCAAATCAACTGAAATACACCTCTTTTTATATCATCAAATAACTTCATAAAACAACAAAAAAAGACCACTTGCTGATGACACATCAGCATGATAATATTTCCCAAAAAACACAGAAATCACCTCTGGGAAAATTTTTATCTGATTTGTACTTTGAGTTTTTAGTTTGGGTCATGTCCTATTTGCTAACATGGAGGAGGCAGGATTTATGACCTATACTGCAACCAGCCACCAGGGGGCGATTGAGTCATGGTGGCTTCACTTCTGGGAGCTGTCAGGCTGTCCATATTTTCTACAGTCAATGGGTTGGACAAAACCTATAATGATCATTAACTTTGCTTGATACAACTGGAAAACACCAACCTTGAAATTTCAAAATCCATTTCTGGTATTTAGGCCTTTAAAATATGATATGTGAATCAGCTATGATGAGTACATCGCCTGTTTTCCCCTTTTTCTAAGATCAGGAGTGCCAACTGAAAAGACCCCACCAGACACCTGATCTCTATTCGAACACCGGATGCAACTATTGACTCAGTAAACGCACAGTGCTTACCTCCTTCAGCACTCACTGCCTCCTGATGATCCTCATCGGGGAGATCATGTGTCAGAGATAGGAGCTGCCCTCCCCATGGATAGGCCTGAACATGCAGGCAGCTGCTGTCAGCCAGCCAGAATGAATGGGAATTAATAGAAACAGCAGCTCTCTAGGGACACTCTTAGCCCACACTGACAGCCAGCACTGATCTGGGGTCATCTTAATGCACTCTGCCTCTTCCCTTCAGCATTAGTGGTGGGAAATATAAAACCTGGATCATGGCAAACACTATTTAACTTTCAGGGTAGGCTTAACTGTGAATGCTGGTCCAGGCCTGTGCAAGCTGTGATATGCACACTTGTGGCAATCAAAAATGTGGGAGTGTCCTGTGTAGGATTCAATTTTCATCTGACACAGAGTATGTTATTAAATCTAAATTGCCCACACATGCAAGAGAGATTTTGCAAGTGACACAAGCAAATGTTTGAGGCCTTTCTTTGTTACCTACTACAACGCGCAAAAATAGCAGACACTTAGCTATTAACATGCACTCCGTTACCCACCCGTTACACATGACTGAAACTAATGCCACAGACCAAGGAGGAGATGTATCTAGTTTAATTTCAACCACAGTCCAAAACCACAGCTTACTATCATATATGAGAAAAAACAGTCAAAAATCTCAAATCTAAAAAGCTGGAGCCAATCCCAGATGACATTGGGCGAGAGACGGGGTACACCCTGGACAGGTTGCCAGTCTATAACAGGGCTGACACTTGGAGACAAACAACCACATACATCCACATTCATACGTAAGGATAATTTATAGTTGGCAGTCAATCTAAGCTGCATGTCTTTGGACTGTGGGGGGGAAGCCAGAGAACCTGGAGAGAACCCAGGTAGGTACAGGGAGAAAATGCAAACTCAGCACAGAAAGGCACCGTCAGCTGGGGCTTGAACTTGTAAAATTCTTGCTGGGAGGTGCAGCGCTAACCACTGCTCCACCGTGTCGCCCCCTGGATCCAGATAAGCAACATAAAATTGATGGATGATAGTTGTAGGGGAACAATTAAGTTAATGGAAGTTTTCTCCTTTCACTGTAGCCAGCAGTAGTGACTCTGGTGTCTGCAACAGGTGTAATGGTAGCGACTGAAACTCCATAAAAAGGGTTGAACAGCCTCCTGCAGCACAGACTTCTGTCACAACAATCCCACTTCTACTCTGCATATGTAGTCTGCTCACAGCTATCTCATCACTCTTTGCATCACATAGACATATTTTATACCTAACATTGCTGTCTACAACAGGAAAGATTTAAAACCTTTGTAAATTAAACACTTTTTATCGCTTTTATAGGAAACTCTAATCTGTGTTTTTAAACTTTTCACGACCCGCATAAATCCTGACAGATGCACTGAAAGAGAGAGAAAGCAGCAACACCGCAGACTCGCCTACGCACGACCATTACAGCGATAGAAAGCGTCCCAGATTAAGGCCAAGTTATATAACTTGGACTCCATTTGTGCTTTTTTTACATTGCATGTGCGCTGCTGACTAGCCAATGCAGGGACTAAATCCCCTCTTCAACAATATGACTCAAGTTAAATGTCAAACTAATCACAGGAGACAGCTAAAATTTGCTTCACTAACCGTGTTCACTTGTAGTGTAGATAGCAGCTAACTGACGAGATGATTTGCTAGCTTTCATCTGTTTGCTCGTTAAGCATGACCTTAGCTACTGCGTTACTGTATAAACGTCAAGGAAAAAGTTTGAATGCACTGACGCGAGAATGGAAGTGGAAATGTCAACTTCTCCGTCAAGAAAGGATGCCATACATGTGTGGGATGAGCATGCTAACGTTACGGTTAGCAAAGAGTATGATACATTTATGTTTTATGTAACAAAGCTGAATTAAACGTCTGCAAAATCAACGACTGAACTGTCCACCTCCGCTAGCTAGCTAGGACGCTCACGGTCAACGTCAACGAAGCGCTCAAACTCTTCATACCTTGGTATAGTGATGCATTTTGTGTTGATATTCTGGGTGGTGATGGCTTTCTCCAGTTCGTCCAGCTGTCCCGTCTTCTTCAGCTTTTTCACCAGACTTTTCACTGCTTTTTCACACCATTTCTCCTCCTGGCCGTTCTGCTCTCCCTTCTTCCAGCCCAAAAGTCTTTTGACAATGGGGGGAGTGAAAGGCAAAATTGACATGTTGAGTTCAGTAAAGTCCTTCCAGTGTCGAGAACTCCGTCGTCTCCGAGAAAACAGGAGATCAACTGCTCTTCAAACGGTGCAGACAGTGAAGGTGGAAACGTTTTTTAGCCAAAAACAGGCAGCGGATGTTGTTATTTAGTAAACGCCAGACAGAAGAATCCCAGAGTTTAACCCCCACGGTTTCGGGACACTTGCCTGTCTGGCGCGAGCTCAGTGGTAAACTGTGTACCGCTAATCTGTTGCGCTCTGTGTTCAGTGCTACTCCGCCAGGAAACCTAGTTCCGTCTACACATTTTCAAGCACTAGCTATTTTACATAAACTCAGCTCCACTCATACCCAGACCACGGCCTCAATTCAAACAAGGTTTAAACACCGACTTGAAAGTATCACGTGTTAATGTTTTTTTTTACTGCTGCAATAACTAATCCTCGGTCTCGATCAACAAAGTTTTGTCAAGTTCATCCGCCGTGCTGGATCCGCCGACTGAAGTCTGCATCAAATGCAAATACAGGAGCTGCTGCTGAGTGTCCATTCAGGCGCCAGACTGCACAGCAGACCTGTGAAAGGCCCGAGCAGCTGTCCAAATGTGCTGAGTTAGTACTGCACAAACCCTGCCTTTTCCCCGTTTTTGCATGCTGATAATGCATGTGGCTGTACCGAGATAAGGTGCTACAATCACACGCATACACAGATCTCTTGATTTAGTTGTGAGTAATTAACAATTTATTGAGTGTACTTAGAAAGTTTGATGAAATTAAGTCTGCTCACTTGGTGTTTGTGGACTACGGGATTTATGACTGGATTACCAAATAGAGCAAGTACCCCAGGGCTCCACATGTCCAAATAGCCCACAAACCCCAGTTTTAATTGGTTGCTCATAGCTTTATTAAGTAATATACTTTTAAAAAGTGACTAACCTTTTCATATGTGCATGTTGTTTAGTTTTAAGAAATTACTTCAATGTAATTCACTCTTGTGATTGAGCTGGGAGCATCTATCCATTATCTATACCTTATTCCTGAATTGGGGGTGGGGCTATACCCTGGACAGGTTGCCAGTCTATCACAGGGCTGACACTTAGAGACAGACAACCACACACACCCACACTCACTCCTGGGGGCAATTTAGAGTCGCCAGTCAACCTAAGCTGCATGTCTTGGGACTGTGGGAGGAAGCCGGAGTACCTGGAGAGAACCCACCCATTATAGGATAATGATATCCAGACTTGACAGTTACAAGGATTTTGTTATTCAGGCTAAAAGAGCTATATCACCCATATGGTTCTTTCAAATTTGATGTAAACCTACTCAAAGGTGACACTTGACACCTAATATATTTTTTAGTTCAAATTGAGTGTGTTGTAGAATGTGTGTGAAGAATAGAAAATGTTTAACTGTCTAAATACATATGCTCTGGACTGTGGCTAGGTTAGATTAAATTGATGGGGGAAATATATTTTCACTAGTTGAGATACTTTCTTTAGTGTTTCTGAATTGTCCTGAAAACGGTCCAAATGAATCTATCCAAATTATAGTCTATAGTGGACCATTATGTCCTCACCTCTGTATTTCCCTCTACATGGTAAAAAGGTTAAGGTTTTTAACTTTAAGAGGAAAATACACTCATTTTTCTTTTCTATCTTGTTTTTGAAAGTCCACACATTGTTATCTGACTGGCTGCTGTTGGATACACTCCTGTGTATGTTTGTTGTACTAAACGTTAGGAAGTTTTATATGCAGCACCTCCACAAAAGACATACTAGTAACTGTGACGGTTGTTTTTTTTTTTTTTTTTTGGGGTGGGGGGGATTATCTCTACATGGGTAAATAATTTAGGGGCTGCTGTAAAATGGAAGGTGATAGAGATCACACATGCATATAAGCGGAGCCACGAACCTGCCTCAGCTTGTCAGAGGTACAAATATAGCATTCCTGTTTGGTTTGCAGAGCAGCTAACCCCTTAAAACTACAACTATAGCCTGACATACACTCACTCATATGTATATACATGTACACCCCCCTCCCTCACACACTCGCTAGCCCATAAACATGCAGACACATGCACACAGTGTTACCGAGTGCCAGATGTACAATGGAGTGTGTCACACAGCTGAGCTCACCACTGAGAGAATGATGATCGGACACTTTAGGGTATGAAGGTGCCTTTGTTTTCCAGACTTCAAAAGAAAGACTTTATTGCGTTCAAGAGTCATTTCCAAACTCGGGTGCTTTATTTGCAAGTACTTGAAAAAGTAGTAAAAGTTGTGAATACTGCACAAAGAAGTTGGTGTACTTCCTGGGTTTTAATTTACAAAAAAAACATTTTTTTAATAGTGTAGTACCCAAAAAGTATTTGACTAGCCAAAGCAAAATCAGAATAATTTGCATACGTACAATCCCAAATTGACTGTATCAACTGATTTATAGAATTATGTAAATCCAAAGATATCGGTTTTCTGCCCCTGTATCTTTTGTTTTTAAGAAATGCAATTTCCATTCATCAGTAGCTCAAGTGACAGTTCATAGTTGTACAAGAATAGTCACACCATTTTAGTATGTGTGTACAGGTGCACTGAGTTCTGTCCAGCAGTCCTCCTCTCTGTGCACAGTGTTTAGTTTGTGCTAAAAATACAGCTGGCTTTAGGCTCTGCAGCACAGGCCCCTTCCCTTTCATCTATTTTGGTCACACAGCAAGGTATACAGTATTTTTATAGCTGTAGAAGTCATGTGAGGGTTCTTTATTCACACTTAGAGTCAAAAGTCTTTAAAGCATAAACCTACAATGTACAACAATGTCTTAAAATGCATTAAATACAGTATTTCATCATTAAACACAGTAGAAAATTAACCAGTTTTTTAACAGTCATCATTTACTGTGAACTGAATGGTTTGGCTGAGTGTCAAAGCTTTATATGAGGTGGTTTTGTACTAATAGCTATCAACAGTTCCTTATCTGTGGTAACAATCATGTCTGCAGCTGTAAACCACACCACGTTCTCCCTCTCTGGTGTGCTGGCAGGTTGGAGGAGTGTGCAGCCATGTGTCACATGCTGAGGCCCTGCAGCCCTCTCGGCACCTGTTTACGCCTCAGGGGAAACAACCGGCCAAGACAGCTGGTTTGTTCTGGAGAAGTGTAGGGTGGATATGGGGGCGTAGGAAGGGGGATGGTATTACAGATGGGCTGCAGTAGCCGGGTGGTAGGACAGGGTGTACAAGGGGGACTATGGAGAGGAGGGGAAAGGGGGATTTCTGTGGGAAGGATTACTGAGCACAAAAGGCACGTCAGCAAGACTGAATGGGCAGTGAACACATACAATCCGATGGATGATAATGACATTGTGTTGGCCTCGACCTCAGGGGACTTGGTCCAGTGTGTGTGCTTGTGTGTGTATATGATGTCAGCTGGTGTCTCAAAGGATTAGAAGGGTCATAAAGAATAGCAACCTTGGGTCTATAGATGGATGTAATAAGGACACAGATGACCAAATATTGGCCAACTTAGAGGGAAAATCAATGCAGCATTTTAAAATATATCTTCAATATGAATACAAGAATTATTGTATTAATAAAGTATTTGAAGAACTTACTTTTAATTCAATATCCAACTAAAGTTTCCTCTATGTAGCTTCAAAATAAAATGAAAACATTGTTTGCCAATATCACATTTGACTCATGCATCTGTATTTATATTTAGTTTATATATATCACACTTTTATTTCATGAAATTTCATTTAAAAAATTGTGTTAAAAAACACTGTAAAAATGTGTTTCTCTCCTCCCCTTTCCTCTCCTCTCCTTTCTTCTCCATGCATCTATATACCACCATTACACATTACTAACTTTGTGTCTCCTCTCTCCCGTAGTGTGTCCTCTCTCTCTCCCTGTACCTTTCTGCAGGTTGCCCTGGCCCTCGAGCTCTATGTCTCTGATGAGCAGTCACCAGCCACATCAGCCTAACAAGTGTTTGATTGTTTGTTGTTGTTTGTTGTGTCCTGTTGCTTTTTTTCTTTTGTCTCTCCTCTATCCACTCACCCCAACTGGTCGAGGCAGAAGGCCGCCCACCAAGAGCCGGGGTCTGTCGGAGGTTTCTTCGGTTAAAGGGAGTTTTTCCTCCCCACTGTTGCCAAGTGCTTGCTCAAGAGGGATTTGTTGGGTTTTCCCTATGTAATAATATTGATAACAGTAAGGTCTAGACCTGATTTTGTAAAGTGTCCTGAGACGATTTTTGTTGTGATTTGGTGCTACACAAATAAAATGGAATTGAACTGAATTGAAATTGAATAACAATGAATTATTAGGTACATTTTGTTAGGTATTTTTAGTCAGATAGAAATTGGATAGATACTTTATGTATTAGAAATGTTTAGTGGAGATAGGATGTCTAGTTAGACTGTTAAATGCTTAGGCATGCTTATGAGTTTCTACAGGGTACATCTGGTCAAGGATAACTAGAGAGAAGAGTTGATGACTGTCAGCAGACAGGGTGTTTAATATTATTATGACGTGTATAACTGTAGCCTTAGCCATAATATGCTCTTATGTTTAAGTCACAACATGTTCTAGAAGTCTGTGAGAATGTTTTTAGTTACACACCACTTAATCAACAGACACACACACATGCACATTGATTTGCTTCATGTTTTGACTATTGCTATGACCAGCTGCAAAGCTGGTAACAGAGACGTCTCGGTTGACGTTTCTGTGTAGTATGGGGCTAGCCCAACCGAGGGGATATAATGTATAGGCCTGGTGGGTTCAGGGTCTTTCATCTTACATCTGCCTGCGTGCAGTTTGGAGGTGCAAGATACCTGAGTGTGTAATGTTAATTTTACCTGTGATCCTTTGAATAAATCAGCACTGTTTTGAAGTTACTTGGACTGTCTCGTCTCTCAGAGTTAGCAATGGTAACAAGAAGCACAGTCCCACAATTTCCTCACTGGTATTTGAACAATGATAAATGTAACATGTAAAGCTTATAGATACTGAGATACAAAAGTGTCAGTGAGGCAGTCACAACTCTCTTTCATGTGCCTTAGAAACCGATTTTAAAATCTCTTTGCAGATCAATAAAGCAGTGCTTTAAGTGTGATTACCTGCATGTATTTCCTTATGTGTGTTTGACCCATACTTGTGAAATATAAGTCGGGGTTATCTCAGTCTGAGCTGGTAAAAATGCAACTCCCTGCTGTGTTTTAATACACGGGGTGCATTGGTTAGGGGATGAGGGATTGCAGGGGAAGTGTTGTAGGTGTGTATGATATGGCCATGTTGTGGCGAGTTAATGTGAGTAGCTTCATTTATGTTTCCAGTCCAGGAGTTTCTGTTGTGTTTTAGTTAGCCATGCTGCTAACGTAGCCTATTCTACCTTATCACCAATTCTACCATGTGTCAGCATTGATATATAAAAACACAGTTGTAACATCCAGTAC